ACTGTTTAAATCAATGTATTATCATTGAAGCGACATTGAAATAATTACTGTTTATCATAGTTCTAAGTATGTCACCGGAAAAGAATATGACACTGACAATCAGTGATGATTCCACTGATTCACTTTTAGAGAGTATATATATATATATATATATATATATACATGATCTGTCCTTTGGTATGGGATGTCAGGTATATAGTCTGATCCTTTCCCGTTGCTTAAAATTTATTATTGAGTTAAAAAATCTAAATTAATAATATATGTATATATTATTAATTTAGATTTTTCTTAAATTTTCTATATAATGTGATCTCATATTATGTTATAAATTTATATTCCAAATGCTAACATGATATCAAGAATTAAAATTTTATTAAAAATTTTGAAAATTCGAATTGCATATTCAGGCACATAAATGCTATTTATGATAATATATTTACCAATCGACCACTTTTCGAGGTGTCATCGATGCGACGATCCTCTACAAAATGCAATCTCTCGATAACGCCGTTATCTTGTAAACGTCTTTTCGGTAGACCGTACGCGCGAATACCCGGTTTATCTTCCTCGGAATCCAACTGGATTCTTCGCACTTTACCGTCCAATCCAATTTGATTGTGGATCTGCACCCGCTTGATGTCCCTCTCATCATCTGGGGATTTGCGTGATTGCGTGTAATCTGGTTGATCGATTGATCGATCGGTGGAATTTAATATAACGTTTGTGCGCTGACGAGCTCGCGCGCTGTTCAGGCTCAGCGAGACAGCCAGTAAAAAGAGCTGAAAAATAGATTAATAGTGAAATTTACATAGTTTACATAGTTTTTTTACCTATTTGCGAAGATGTTAATTTTCACAATACTTCTATCTTTAGACATAGATAACAAAGATATTCTATATCAACAAAAATATCCTTTATTTTATTTGAAATAAAAAGAGAATAGATGAAAAGTATTGCTTTCAATAAACGTATACATATATATTTATACGATAAAAAGATAAATGTTAAATTATAAGAAAGCAGTCGGGTGTTTATAAATTCTTTTGAAGTTGATGTAATCTTTGCTACATGACGGAATATTATCTCCTGCGGTCTGCCACGATAGCTTTAATCATGACTTAATAAAAACCCGGAAGATTGCGTGTTTCCTCAAATGAATATACTCCAATGCCATTTACACAATTGGAATAAAAAATGTTACCTATGTCACGGCGAGGTCACGGAAAATCACTTGACGAGATTCAATGATAATTTTCCTGTTTGTCTTATGTATTAGTATCTGTTAATGAAGATGATAAAATGGAATTTCATTAAGTTTTACGACTTCCACTTTTAATGATGATTGACGAAGATATTTCACAATATAACGCTTCTCATCGTTACAAACCAATGTTACAAACCAATAAAAAAAAACCACTCAAAAACTTTACGTCTAAACAGAAAATTAAAAGAAAACTTTAATAAAAAATAATTAATTTAAAATGTGTGATTAATAAAAGCAGTTATGTAACATAATATTAAAAGATTACAAAAATAATACTAAAAGAAGTCATACGTTGTCGAAAGATATTGAAATTAATATTATTATTTGTCATTTTATTATTATCTATTTTATCTAATTGATATATATAATTATAACGATTGATATAGTTAGACAAATCTGTTCTATTTTTGATAAGAATAAGGAATATTGCACTATAGTATATATAATATATATTTGTAATTAATAATTATTTTTTGAAAATAATTTCACAAAGTTGATTATTAACTTTATATAGGTATCTTAATTTTATTATACTTTTATTATTAATTTTATCTTTTAACATAAAAATTTATATTAAACTAATATTATGTTAAATTAAGTGGTAAATAAAGAAATGAATATTAATGCTATTACAATAATTACAACCTGATTAAAATTAAAATACAGTAAAATAGTATAGTTCAGTAATAGTTCAGTATTCTGAATAACGTTTGATTAAAAATTTTTTTTTAATGTTGAAAAAGATAGAGTTTGAAAGAAATTAGATTAATTATTAGATTATATTATCCTCGTTTCTTACCGTTAATGTCAACCTCATCGTAGAGCGGTACTTCCTTTCTTTCTGTCACAAATATCTTGATTGCGGCTTTCCAGTTCTTGGTCGGACTCTTAAGCGGCGTTTGAGGGGAAAGATCGACCGCGCATCGGTTATATACGTAAGCCGTCAGCGATCTCGAAGAACGCAATTAAGTTAGCCTCACACACAGGAGTCTGCGATATGCATATTCGTTGTAGAGCGAGAGCAGTCTTGTTCCCAGTAAAAAATCCCGCCACTGCGAGACTACGGTAGTGAGTCATCTTCGTAAACGCGAATCGCAAACGGGTGAAAAGACTCGAAAATTCATGGTGCTTCTTTTGCAACCCGTGATCGACATGCGTGAAAGCCCCCGATGGAAAAGAAGGAGAATGAGAAACAGACTTTTGGTCATTTCTGCAAAATAATTTCAGGATGTGGATTATGGATATTATGAGATTAAATACAAAATTAGTATATTACTAATATAATTTATTCATGTGTTATATCTAAAATTAAATTTTTTTGATAAGGAAGTTATAGGACAATCTTTGTATATTGTAATATAAGCATATTGATGATAATTAATGAATAAAAAATAGAAATTATAATGGGATAATATATACCATATACTATAAATTCATAAATTTTGTATTATTTTAATTTAGATACCATTATTGGGACATTTCTCAAGATATTTCTTTTGTTTTTTATTATTATTAATCTGATTTGTCATTTCGATGATACGAATACCGGAACTTACTTTTAATTTTAACGTAAACTGAATTTGGCCTTTCCTTGTAGTTCATAGTGAACTATATTCTACTAGTGTTAAACACCTATTCATTGATCGCTAAACATTTGCACGTACGACTCACACGTGTTGCACATGCAAGCGGTTTTCCCACTCTTCCACGGTGACGGTGACAGTGTTTCTCATTTAAAAGTAATTCTGTTCTATCTATAAAGATACTAACACTAGAAAAAAATACAAGAATTATATTTTTTATTCTAATTATTTTTAAGCGTTAATATTTTGACTTGTCGAGATATTTAAATAAAAGGCTGAAAAATATTTGTTTAATTTTATATAAGCGCTTTTTTCTTCTTTAAGACAAAAATAATTAAATCTATTCAAAACATCGATATAAATGACGTGTTGTTTTATGTTTGAATTTTAATTAAAATCATTCCGGTTTTTACGAGGCATGCATTTATTATGCTAATCAAGAAGTCTGAAATATCACGAGAAGTTAGACAACCGCTGTCTTAGTTCACATGAATGGATAGATGAAAGAGCGAGTGACTAACCGTTCGCCCCGAGGGCATTAACAATGACACGTTTACTACGGATTGCAACTAATTTCCACCGCATTCCTAGTAAGTACGCCAATAATCGTTTAAACGATTCCCCTAACGAGACCGAACAGACTTGACTAACATACGCAATTTTATTGTCGTTTGATGTTAGGGACTTACTGACGTGTACAAGATCTGTCTGTTATAGACACATTGTTCAACGTTATGCATTTAATATTAAATGAATTACTAAAGAAGTATTGATGATATGTAAATAATTTCAATTTAATAAAATTGTTATAATTAATTATAGACATCTATATATTATTTTGTTAAGAAACATATGCACAATATAATGAAACGTATAATAGCGCGCTATATATATATATATATATATGTCATGATCAAGCAACTTTATTTATTAAAAAATTAGTTGCAACAATATGTAATCAGAGAAGGCATCGTTCAATACTTTAAATTTTTTTGTTAAGTAGTCGCTAAAAATTAATTCATTATTATTTTATTTAGTTCTACCAGGTAATAAGATTAAAATATCAAATAAATTATGCATACTTAGCCTACTTTTTATGTATATATGATGCTACTTTTGAAAGGAGCACGTATACCGGCTTTCTTCATTTTTCTCATGAAAATAGTTGAAAGATGTTAACCTGCATTCGCGAATTTTTATATATTTCTCGAGATAGAACATTTTCTATACACAGACTCCCTTTCACCTTTCGTTTTAGAATAAACGTATACAGACACACAATTCATGTATGTCTGGACGCTCTGCAGATAAATCTCTAAATATCTCGAAACGCGCGGTCCAGTAAATGTTAAATTAATTCCAGCTTCTGCTTTTAGCGGTAAATTCGTGATCATTTAACATATATACACTTTCTATCCTGAGGAATCCATATATAATGTGAGAAAACATGTTCATCAAAAGACTGGGAATAATATTCAATGTCAAGTTTAAATCTGACTATGACTGTGACTGAGTCGAGAGGCTGAGCATAACTGAGTTGTTAATTAAAATCGATGATAACTGATTATTATGTGCGATTACTCATTTATGATAAATAATGCATCATTCAACGTAAAGATATTTGAAAAAAAAGGATAGGATTAAATAATGTAGTATAAAATTAGACAGTTTCTGAAATATAATTTATTTTTTATTTAATAGTTAATATTTATTAACTCAAACACTGCAGGTCCAAGCGCATTTTATCAATCAAATTTTACAAACTTGAAAAAATTGAGTTCAAAATATAAAAATCGCTATAAATAGTAATTCGTAGTTTTCATGTAGTTTAATGTAACTTTAATGTAAATTAAGTTAGCATAGCTAACATTTAACTTGACACTATTATTATGAAAGATAATTATTTACTTACGTCATATCAATTTTTTAGTAATAAGAACATACATTCTATTATTAAAATACTAATAATAATCATCGGAATATCGGGGTCTATATCGATAATTACGTCTTGGATAAGAATCGTAAGGATTGTATCTTTGATATACCGGCTTTCTGTAAGATCTCCGTTGCACCTCTTGTCGGTATCTGAAGAGCGGTCTAAAGACAATATCCGCGGCGACTTCCATGTCGCGTGGATCTTTGGGATAATTAATATCCGCATCCGAAGTCCAAAAGAGTGGCGTTACAACATCAATACGGGACATTGTAACGGGCAACGTATTTTCAGAATTAATATTGTTCATATATTTGATCTCTTTTGTACTCGGCCCGTACGGTGAAGATGATACTTCCATCTATGGTGAAGAAACATCTTTTTTAATTTTCTCTCACACATTTATTTTCATATCTTTAAACACAAACTATTATAACTAACTTAAATTTTTAAATTAATCGGTTATAATAATTGGATGGTAACAATTATAATTTATAGCAATTTTTAAATGTTACCTATTAAATATACTAGCGTCTTTAATAACAGTTTAATTTTAGATTTAATTTTCTGCATTATTTTCTAACGTCTAATAACGTCTAACAACTGCTATATAATGCTATTATATATATTATTTGAATTTAATCATGCTAATTGAAGATATAATAAATCATAATAATGTTTTACAATTGTGTTTTTACCACTTGACCACCAATTAATCGAAATTTCACGGTTCCTAAAAAATGAAAAACTTACAGAATATTATTGTCTTAAATTATTGCGAAAAATTGATTTACCTCCGAAGGGGATGGATTAAGTTGCCAATTATTGGGATCCACGCTCCACGAGCTTTTGTCGACGTAATTTTGAACGTTCCGTTGAATTTCGTCGCGCCCGTTCTCCAATTGGCTCTTTAAGGTTTCATCTTGCCGCGATAACGCCGCCGCGATCGGCACGTCAATTTTATCATCAGAAATTTTTGCGGGATCGAGGAACGCGATGATTGGTACCGATATTGCGGGTTGTGGATGTTCCGGAGGCGCTATTTCCTGACTTGGGTTTGGCACGAGATATGGAATTTCTTGCGGTATGTTGTCGATAAGGAACGGCTTCCGCGTGGTTTTAGACGTCTCGGTTAATGCTTCGTAGAAATCATCAGGCTGCGATCCATAGGACGAAGAAATATCTGTGCTTTCCTGGAAGATTACGTGTTCGGTAACGTTATGTTCGATCCACATGTTCTTTAATTATTTCTTCGTAAATTACACGCGAAACGTCGACGATCTGCACACAGTTTATACTTTAAACAAATAGATTACGATGATGGGATATCAACGTCTCTGTATATTTTACCGAGTTTGTGTATTCATCCGCATCAGTTTCGGTGAAAGATTGAGCAGCTGTAGATGTCAAGCCGTCTACATCAGTTTCCGCATTTACGGTCTCCGTTATATTTTTCCGTACATCCTCTAAATGCATCATGGGCACGACGAGAACCTGCTCACGCTGTGACACCACCTTAAAGAGAATATCTTCAAATAACACAATATAGGACATTCGAATATATATTATAAACTTCAAACTTTTTCTGTTTGCCTACAGATATTTGTTTTTATACTGAAAACAAATTGGCGCATTTAATATGAATTGAGCAACAACTAATTGTTGTAAGATTATATAATTCTTTTCCATAACTAATTAGCATTTTCCAAACTGCTGTTATATAAAAGATTAATTACGCTTTGAAGTTGTTCGTTATCGTTAATAAAAGCTAACGATCGTAATCATAATAATTAACAGGTGTCCTTAATAACAGCAGTATTCGCTTTTTAAACATCGTATTCTTTAGTGAAGCAGATACATAGAAATGTTGCATGGAGTACACCCAAAAAAATGTTCTACTTATAAGCGGGAAATTCTTTTAAGCATTTCCTCTAGACAAAAAAATTTTACATGAAGCATATTCCTCAGCTATTTAACGCGTATTTATCTATAAAGAAGTGGATCATGCGCTATAATCAAGAATAAATTCTCATAGTAATTCGATATTTCTCTATACTTTAGAATATATACTCGTAGTAATTCGATATTCCTCTACATTTTAGAATATCTTCTTGAGACGTATATAAGAGGAAAATCTTTTAGCATCAAGAGGGTACTGCTAAAGGATAGAATATTTTTTTTAGGTATAATATTCATAATTAATTGTACGTATAAAAAATCCATATAAATGTTATAAGTAAACCTTAGTGGGTTCAGTGGCGGGCATAACGAGCACTTTCTTCTTTACTACCAGGCCTTGTAAAGTTCCATTGCCGACCGTATTTTGCACAGCATCTTGCACCACCGGATCTCTCACAATAGCGGCTAATGTATCATTCGTAGTCTGAGGTTCCGTTGGTAACAGATTTTCAATATCTTCATACTCAATAGGTTTTCCGTCCGATATGCCCGCGAATAATAAAAAGATCACAAAAAACGTGATATTTCCAAGCTACAAAATGCAATCAATAAAGTCTTTTAAATATAAGCTATTTAAGTTATGATCTATGACTCGAATGCAATTAAAAGACGAAGCTGTATACTCTAAATAGATTAAAGTTAAAAATACGAGAATTTATTTTCTCAAGATATTAATTTGATGAATTTATTAATTACTGAAAAAGTATTTATCTAAAACATTAACGCGCGACATCGATTTGTCATTAAAAAATTAAATATTTCATCGCATTATGTTAACTTGAATTTATCGCTAATAATCAAAATGATAATAGTTTTAATTTAATAAACTATATAGTTTTCATAGTTCCCGTAATTTTATAAATAATCCTAAAATAGAAGTTTGTATTGATTGTCTGTGACGCAAAATGTGTAGCTTGTACTCTTCGTACATTTATATATGCTGTGTTAATTGCTATGTGAAAAGTGGACTTTTTGAATGATTGATCTAAAAACGTACCGCTGAGTCGTTTTTCATCGCGGTGACGAAACTGTACGATGTTTCTTCCTGTTGCTGCGACGAGACTGCTTCGCCAAGGATTTTCCAGCTCTGTCAAGGTATAACGGATCGTACTGGTTTTATACGACGTGCTGAAAGAATTATCGTTACTCTGCTAATAAACGTGAGTATCAACCTTGCGGTAAACTTCGTCGCGCGGATGCTGCATTATAAAGATCATACATCAGGCAGATCATAATCGTCAATCATATGACAATTATTTCTGACGGGTTGTGATCTTGTATTTCTTCATAAATTTTCGTACGATGACAAAATATTGTCTTTTCTGTTTTGATTGACTTACTGTGAGCTAGTATTTTATTTTTTATGTTTTATCCTTTTATATTTTAATAGCTTTAATAATAAATTAAAACTGAAGAAAATTGCAAAAGATTAGACGTCCACTTTATTTAACGTTTTTAGATATAATTTCTTGAATTCCATAAGTTTCTGAAACGATCGTGAAATAATGTAAGACGTAGGAGAACGTTGGAATACTTCAACAAGTGCTGTTTGACCGCGACCACGAAGAAATATTGTATTTATCGTTAGCGCACTCTTAACGATATCGAGACTCGATGGTGTTTGACGAGTGACTTAGCGACGAATCCTGAATAGCAAGCTATAAAAGACTTGCTTCAACTTTCCGAGCTATTAGTCGGCAATTGGGAACTGTACTCTCTGTACCATACGGAAAATCCGCGATACAAATGGAACGCTTCAGCATCATCCTCTACAGCCTCTGCTCTCTCGCGATCCTGGCAGGATCAACGCCCGCAGGATCGTCAACGATTGAAACTTTGTGGGACAGCATACATGACGTAAGAGATGTCAAGAATAATCACGCAGATCTGAAGCAGAACAATACTAAATATCCCTTGATCGATAAAAATCCCGTGATGACTGCTACCCAGGTTGGAGAACACGCAAAAAATCAATCATCTTTGAATAACGCATCAAATACATCGAACACAACTTCAACTGGCAACTTTTCAAGCAGCTTTATCAAGGATACGCAGCACTCAAGACGTAATGACGATCGAGAGGACGATGCGTATCACAAAGAGGGACCATCTGTAGGTTTGTCGTCGCACGATATCCTACTAGATCCCGATGGTTTGATACCGGCTCGTTTAAGTCGCCAAGCTGAAAAAGGCGACGCGAATTATTCGACCCTCGCATCGATCGACAACATATCGAGCCATGTCAAGTTTAACAACGATGTTGTTCCGCCGAAACGGAATCCGAGTTACGAGGGGGATCTCCGTGTGGCTGAAGATAGATATCCGCCTCCGTATCCGTATTGGAATCCATATTACCGAGGATCATTTCCGAATCAAAGATATCGAGCGAATGACAGGAGGGAGCCTTATCGTAACTATTGGAGATATCCTGTATTTCCAGGGAAATAAATCTAAAAGTTTCTGAGATTTTTTCTTTCTCCTCTCTTTGAGGGGAAATTAGATTTGCATAGCCAGATTTATGTAAGTAGATCTTGGAAAAATAGTGATGAAAAATATTCCTGATGAAAAAAGACAGAGAAATGTATTAATAAATAATCTTAAACTTATAATAAAACTTTAGATTGTAATTTCTTGAGAAGAGATTGCTCCTGAAATATTTTTAACAACATTTTATAATTAAAATTACATTTTTATCAATAAAAATTAATGTTTGCAATTAAATTAAGCTCATGTTTAATTTCTTTAAAAAATAAATTCAAAATATTTTTAATAATCTTTTTACTATTACTTAATAAAATTAAGTAATAAATTATTGTACTATTATTGTTCTATCAATTTCTGTTCTCAATTCTATATTTCAATGAACATCTGCTTATAATGTATCAATAACAAGTTTATGTTACGACAAGAAAGTAGATTATTAATTATATCGAAAGATTATAAAAAACGTATCCACTATATTAAGACATTATGTCAATTAATTCTTATGTTAAGCACATTTATATATTATTTGTAAATTGTGACAGGAATAAGAAGTAAATGTATAATTAATATTCTACATTTATTTATAAAATGTCACACACGTATTTATTTCATTACACACGTAACATTTACACTGAAAGAAATCGTATTACAAATAACATTCTCATATGTACATATCGAGTATCCACAACATCATTAATCTGCTTGCTTGCGTAACGCAACTTTGGTAGACAGCTTTCGATTATCTTACAATTAAAAGGAAATGCTATAATTATCACTATTTAATTACATTATAAATTATAGAGAATACATACTGCGCGCTTCCTCTAATTTTTCTGTTATCCTACATATTATTTTAATCAGCACTCTCTTTTTGTAGATTTAATTTCAATCTGACTTAAATCTACAGGATTTTTACCAGAGATCATAATGTGATCGTAATGTAGAACTAAAAAATGCTTTCCTGATTTTTTTTTTATCGCACTTGTTGCTTCGCTTGCCGTTAAAAGAAGGATCTTCCTGAATCAGCAAGATTAGTCCGTGCTCGTTATAATTCACACTGTTAATCTTCGCCGAAATAACGAGAGCTACAACCTTTTAGCGTAATTATACTAACGAGTTCAATACCCCCTTGCTACCGTTTTACAGTGCACTCCTTTTTCAATACGAAAACTTCCTTTTTTCGGTCTTCCGTATTTTTTTTTTCCATATCTCACACAGTTTTATTTCAGCGGTAAGCTTCGTCGACAAGAGAACAGTTTTGTTTGCGTCCAAAATTTTCATACCGGTGCGAGTCTTCCGCTTCGCTGCTTATAAGCTTGAGTTCTTATTCTTCGCCGCTCACGTGGATCTATGAATATCCGCGACCGGCAAGCTTTATTTCATACAGCCCCAGGCTGTATATGAATATCGGATATGAGTTTCGCTATAAAAATGAGCCATATGATTATAGCTTGCTATTTTTCAGAACAGATGTTTGTATATTTTGTTTAACCTTCGTTTCCCTTTAATTTGTCCATCTTTCTTCGATCTTTGCGTATCTTTGTTTAAATGAGATCTTTTTCTCAATACAGCTCGGACTTGATTCTTTTTTAATCCTTCTTTAGGATTTTGAAGATCTGTAGAATTGAGGCTTTTTATGGAGGTCTCCAAGTATCTCGAATGTATTATCTTCCCAATAATACCAAAATGAGATAACAATCAGTTGCAATAATTGTTGAAATCTCCAAATCGATTTTTCCCTCTCCCGCTTATATTCGCCTACCTCGTCGAACGGCGTCCCTGGCACGTTGTCGATACGCGACCTGCTGACGATAGACGAAGAGAGGACGAAGAACGTTGGTACCAGCTGCAGTCTCGAGATCATCATCATTATTTGCTTCCTCTGCGCTGCGTTTTTCGAGATTCACGATATCATTTGCAATTTTAGAATTGTCGTTTAACGCGTACATCGATTTCTCGTTTGTCAAAGCTTGAGGATCGTCGAGTTCTTGAACGATAATCGGCACAACAAGTAAGGGAGAGCCATAAATGCTCGCCGTTCTAAGAGGTGATGCGTAAGAACAAGCGATGGACAGCAGCGCAAAGACAATGAATGTACCAGCCATCTAAGAAAGAAGAAGAGATTGCGCCTTTATACAACATCTAAAGATTTGCGAATAGTCATAAGATGTTTGAAAAATATAATTCCAAATAAAACTTATTAGGTATTTTTCAAAAATTATCAATATACTTGTAAAATATACATTTATAAGATTTATTGATGAACTTTCATTAAAATAAAACAAACTTATGATTTTTGATAAACGATTCAAATAAGTTCTGGAATTTCAATTCAATTAATTTATTTATTTTTTTAATTATTTGCAAGAAAACTTTTTCTTAAATTATACGAAGGATGTCGAATTTGTAATAGAAACAAAAACTGTGCAGCTCAATAGAAATGATCTGTTTAAACTCGAGGAAAATATGCTTACCATGCTGTACTTGAAAGTATCGGATTATATTGACAATACTTTGCAAGAGAAAGTAATGATCGCTTTCGTACGCTCAAGATTACGTTACTCAAAAGAGGAAGTAACGTTTCAATGCGAAGCGTTTGCTGAGAATATAATAGCACGTCGTAGACAGCTCTCTCGCGAGTTTATGGTGGCCGAGATCGGGCATTCGGTATTTATATGAAACTATGACGTCAAACGAGAGCACGCTAATTATACAATGACGCTCCACGGCGGGTGATAACAGACCTGGTAAACCAGGTAGACATGACACACCGCCGATGTATCCTGGGTGTACTACGCTGCTCCTTGTTTTACCGGCCTTGCAGGTGTTAACTTGGCTACAAGGGAACGTCCCCCTCGATGCTTGCCTATTTACGCGTAAAATGTTGATAATTTAGTATGTAGTCGTTTTGCGCACATATTCGAGATTTCCCAAAATTATCTTGCAAATACACGCCCATCAAAACAAGGCGACAGAATCATTTTTCGCCGCAATCTTGCTAGTACATTCTGTAAAATGCGGCTTTTATCTAGATTTACAGTGTCTTGTGATTGTACTCAGGATATATTTTTCAACTCATATGAAATATATTTAGGTAAATTTATAAGGTTTTATCAATTTAAATATTTGAATATTATGGCATTCGCAAAAATTCTATTATTTTTTTCTTTATTATTTTATTTCTTATTACAATATTATTGTACTTCACTATTAGTTTTATCAAGTTTAGAATAACAAATTAAAAAACTTAATTAAATTTTTTTAATTAATGTATATTTTTTATGATAACAAAAGGTAATAATTTATTTAAAATAATTATAAAATAGTTGATATACAGAGAATTGGCTTTATGCCGTAATATTAAATTAACCACGCGCATGATTAATGATCTATTATTACATTACTTATTATCGATTATTTCAATCGAAATAATAAGAATAAGTCTCAACAATTTATTTTGTTTTTAATGTGTTACATAGAAAATATTCTTGTTAAATATTTTATTACCTAAGATGTAGTCGTCAGATCTTCACGTGACGCATGACATAAGAAAGAGGCGTCTCTAAAGCGCCACGTTACACATTGTTACATCACAGCATATGTGAAAATTTAATCTTGTTCTTATCAATATTGCACAATAATTCGTCATTTCGGAAACTTTCTACTCGTTAATATGTAATAAAAAATCAAATTTTGATTCTTTAATAAAATAACAGATGTAAATCTTTTTTTAATTTATTCATCTTCATCATCTTATTATCGACAAATCAAATAGAGAAAATGACGAAATTATATCAAGTTTAACACATTTGCTGCTCAATTTTTATTTATGACTTCGTTTATTTTTTATGCTCCTTTTACAGTTAATGCCTAATGTATTGTAGAAAATAAATTGTCAATTAAAAATTGTTTCCTTCAATTTTTGTAAAATTACTAAAAATCAGGAAAGGACGAAAATCGCGAGTCGTTCGTCCTTAAATATAATCCAGGACTCGAGAACTCGCTAACGCAAATATATGTACATCGTATTTCTGTGTAGTAAACAGTCTGATTTATTTACTTGTTTTTCTATTAAATGTTATTAAGTATATTTTTATTGTACTGAAACAGATTCTTGTGTCTAGCACGATTCCCTTTAAAATGTGACAAGGCACACAACGGAGAATTAGAACTATGGAAGGACGGTTTTTTTCTTTTTTTTTTTCTTTCAATTTAGATGGTGGACTCAGCCTCCTCGTGCACAGATTCGCCGCTTTCGGTAGTTTCGCTTTTTGATCTGAAAGAAATCATCAGATGAGGATCTCTACGAGGTTTAGTTGGACGTGAAAGACTAAGTACGTGACGGTAAACGAGAGTAAAATAATTAAATATGCGCTAAGTGATAACACGAGAGGGACTGCACGATTCGTGTCGCTTACGAACATATATGTAAGTATCTCGGAGTCTATGCGAGTTGAAAATTTCCAAATCCAGAGTACAAGGGCGGAATCGAGGTCGTGAATCGAGCCGTTTATTTCGAAAATGGTGTACAGCTTCAATTCTGCAATATCAAGAATTGACGAATTCATTCATAAATGTTTTAATGCCATTTTTAATGTTATGCATAAAAAAACAAATTTTCGAAATAAACGCTCCAATCAAATCTAAGATAGAGAAAGATATCAATAACTGATGTACTATTATCTAACTGTCAACAATTCGCGAAAATGAGATTCGTGACTATACAATTCAAAGTATTACCCAAAATATTCAATCAATTATATTGATATTAGTACAGCCGTTATTGTTGCCGAGAGACTAATCTAACTGGAATATATAATAATATGCGTACCAAGAGTCGCCAATTTTCAATATTGCTTAAAAACCAAAATCGAATACGTTAGTTACAAATAAAATATAAATGCAGATAGATGCAAAACATTTTGATTTTTATTAAGATTTTACGGAACTCCTGGTAGACACCAAATTTTTTTTGGGATAGACCATCGGACGTTACAGATGTTAAAACAAAACATACTAAACAAAATATGTTCCTATCCAATTTAAGTAAACAATAATCTATCGCGCTAATCCTACTCAAGTCTATGTCTTTCTAATATGAGAATATAAATGAAAGAAAGTAAATCAGGTTAAACAATTTTGAGATATCTTTGTCGCGATTGTCTGGGATCTACTACACTTGCGCCGATGGTTCGGTAAAAAAACATCTGTATTACCTGAATCCATAGTACATGAATCCGGAATCTCCACAGAAATGTATATTTTGCGAAAATAAATTCGCGGTGTGAAAAATGCACAATTGTAAGAAATACGTGTTTTAAATTCATGGTGTATGAAATCTACAATGCGAAAGATTCTACTCTCACAACGCTACTTCCACTTGTGTAAAATATCTGCCAAGTACTGCCTCTACTGACGAGAGCGTTCTCGCAGGAGGAAATCATTTCGAACGAATCGGCCTGATGCACGTGCGTATTCGTGAGAGCATTGATCTTGCCGTTTCGTTACTTCCGTATAAATAATTTTATTGTATGCAAATCTTCATGTGTCATCCAGTGCCTATCCGTGTAACTTGTCCGTCATGAAATTTAGGTGAAGGAGAGGAACGAAAGAACAGTAATTTACGTTGCTCATCGTCCCATCATTAAGATCATTCCGTCGTATTAATTAATTGTATGTAAACAGATAATATCTAAGCTGATATTCGATAATTATGAGTAACGAATAAATATTCGAGCATTATCGAGAAAACAGGCTTTCAATTAACCAAAGAATATGTCTAAAAAAACAAGTACACATCGTTATAACTTTCAAGAAGTTAATAAGACTATATCGAAAAAATTTAGTGTTTAATAAAGTCTCAAATTTGTAAAATTTTACTGGTAATTCATGTTTGAAACAATCTCGCGCTTCATTCCTCTCTTCACCTATTCTCTTTCTCTTTTTTTATTCAATTCTTTCTTTCACACGCACGCTTCCAATTTCCGTTTCCTCTCTTTTACTGTGCATTCAGTTTTCTATACATTAAAATACCATTCGACGCTATAGTTCTACAACGATACATCATAAATGTAATTAATTACAGTTTCGAGTTGTGCAGGATGCAGAATGGGCTAAGAAGAGATATTACCCTTAACTGACGCTGTACGATTAATCGACTATCCTTTTAGATCTTTAGATCTTCGAACTTTTAATATACAAGTATAACAGCGTAAAAAAATTATATTCTTCCATATAATCATCTTAATATATCGCCACAATTTTTTTTTGTTCTATTAGCAAATTTTACAAATCTCTTCTTGCAATTTCTTACAATTTCTATTGTCTTCTACCTATTACAATTTTTAATAGAACTAAAAAAATTATGGAAATAATAAATACGTTCATTTTGTAAGATGTCCAATTGACAATCGATTAATCGGACAAGCGTTCAGCTTTCTCCACCTTCACATACTTTTGTCTTAATCCTTTTGAGAAGCACGCTCACAATTATCTATTTTGCGTATTGAGTTAAATCCATGTTTTTTCGCGTCGACAATCAACGATTGATAATCGTCAGTAATTGTAAAAAGGCCCCGTCGTATATAAAGAATGCATTGTGTAGATTAAATCGACATCGTGATTTATAAAATGTATGCTCTAGCTGGTGCGCTTCTAAGAATCAAGGGTCGTCTCAACTTCCTCTGTCTCGCCATTCTTACATCTGCCTAATGCGTACACTCGATTCTTATTATTATAAATCCGGCTGCCAAGCGTATCGATCGACATTGCCACGATGACCCACGTATATTGCTTTAAATTGAAGTTCCTGCGGCTGTCAAAATTTCCTTGCGCGAAATCAAGCGCGTCTAGTTTGATATATAAAATCGATTTCTACCCGAGAATAAGCTCGACATTATCGCTCGCATTTCAGTACCCTGATACACGATCGCTCGGCAATCCGGAGATTATGGTAGATTGATCGATTCGAAATGACCTTTCTCTATAGGACGTTATCTTAAAAAATGTTAATTATAAAAATGCGTGACGTGAATTGTAGTCTGACAAGATCTGCATTTTCATTACATTAATTCCATTCCAGTCCAGCCAATTTTTACGATTAGAAAGCGATTTTGTTGAAGAAACTAAGTTCTTTCTTTTTTCTTGATTATCAAAAAAATACCCGTTATTCACAAAAATTCTGTGCATTACGAAAAAAATTAATAAATAAAACCGACAAGGCGAAAAGCGATATATTTTGATATTATCTCAATGATGGGAGCACCCTCGAAAGTGCCATTTCGAATAAATCAGCCGTGGATTTACTAGATAACTATCTATTTATATATTGTCGGGTAATAAAAACGGCTCGCTTTCACGGTGACTATGCTCTTTCAAAAAGGGGAGAAGTCGCTACCGTTACACTATACACCGATCGCTGTGGTTTCCCTTCCCTCCCCTTGTTTGTACGAGTAGGCACTTAGCTATGTTTCTGTGTTTTTTTTGTTTGTTTGTTTGTATAACGTTATATCTATTGTATGCACACGAGTTAGTATAAAAGAATGCGTCGCTGGATCTGCTCTCTTTCGTGCCTTGTCCGATGCTGAATGTGAAGTCCATAGAGATACTTTTTCAAAGGCTTATACATATACATATTACGAAAACAGATTGTCATACCTAATATAATCGGTAAGAGAAAAACACGGTATCTTTAAATGTAAAACGTTACATTGAAAAGGTGAAATGCTACTTGAAAATTGTATTAAAAGGAGAAATCAATTTCTGACAGTGCGAAACCGTGTCCGCATTTTCCCGAATAGTGTTTCGATAAAGTGAGTTGCACGATCAACATCGGTGACTGCTTTCTTCATTCCTTCGCATTCGCTCTACCATACACGCGCTTCTCACCTCGTATCCACTCACGCATGCACGCACGTACGAACGAACGCACGCACTTCGGAACGCACACATCGATTTTGGAACTTTTAATTAGCACCGTGTCTTCGTGACCTGTGAATTTTCATGAGCGTATGTCCCATTTCCGGAAGCTTCGCGCGATCGCCAACAACAGGAGAGATGAGCGTCTATACGATCGTTCGTCTCGGTTCTTTCTCATCATGCGTAAAAAAACGGCGGATGGATTGCGATTTTTTTTTTTTACTATGCAAACTACGTGCCGTCCTCGAAATTTCAACACGTTTCTCGGCTCAATTTCAAGACGCATGAAAATGATCAGGTGATCTTCACGTCATGGTGAGTTTCGCCAATGACAAGGATAACGATCGTCACGAGACTAATCGCGGTCGTTTCCGTTTCGAATCGAATCGTCGCAGACTGCGGTTTTTTATACTTACATAAATAATATCTCGATAAAAATTAGATAACAATAGTATATTAGTGCGTAAAGTTAAAAACGTGTTGTTGACAATAGAATACTGCATATCCCCTCACGACATCGTGTTCCGCGCGGAGTACCTATATCGCTCCCATTTTCCGTTTTCCAATTCAATTTCTCTTGCAACGTTCTAACGCACATAATTAACGCGAAGACGAGCAGCAGGTCGATATGCGCAAGTGCGACGTGTCTGAAAACCCACGTTGGGAGATCGTGCTCCAACGGTAGTTAACGTACAAAAGTAAAAAATACGCTCCAGTGACGCGCATCTTTTCAAGACGTCGCGACGCACATATTCTCGCATCATGCCTCATCTTTGGATTGGAACACGATCTGACAAGTCTTTCTCTCAAAGTGGCTTATATAAAAGCTCGACTTAAGAAATACGCCGGCTTAACTTTCGTTATTTTACCGCTCGTTTATTCCCTTCTCCTTCTAGTCCCTCCCTTAGGAGTCATTAGACGTACTCAGTCTTTGTCCAATGCTCAATGCACAGTTTTTGCAAACGTGCGCCGTTGAGCAATGAGCTGGAATTCGCATTTTCTAAGATTTCGTTTTTTTTTTTTAAACCCTTCCCAACTCTTCTCTTCTAACAATTAATGTAACTTTTATTACTAAATTTTCGAAGTTTAATAAGGATATCGAGATAAATGCACAAATATAGGATTCGATTTAAAGAAAAATTAAAAGCGAGAGAATATCGCAGAGATCACTAGTAACTCTTGAAAAATACTGCTTGTTTATAGCAGATTTGTCTGTTTTTCCTTTTACTGCTTTTTGTCAACAATTTGCATATCAAAAATTCGTACATCCTTTTTGTAAGTTCTTCAATAATGGAAAAAAATGTAAAAAAATAATAATAATTTGTCAGCAAAAGTTCTCTTGATAAACATGGAAAATTCAATCTTTCTGCATGATCGCATCTAAGATAATTTTACTTATAAGCGTACGAAATTTGAAGCTAACATTCGTACATGAGGGATGTCTTGTTGCAGAATAAAATAGTTAATTCTACAATCTATCATAATGAAAATCAATAAAATTCATGTGAACAACGGCGACCTGTATGAGTTTATCAGTATATAGTTGTATCAAACATCATCATCCGAGATGGCGATTTGCATGAGATTATATATTCTTTGTTGTAATAAAAAAAAAAAGGAAAAGAAAAAGAATGTGAGTTAGAAAAACAGTATATCTTACTCATAGCCAAACAATAAAAAATATTAAGCAAGATTGTTATAATAAATGAGAAACATTTTTAAACTCTTTTATGAAGTAATTAATGTACAATATGCGCATAATCTAAATTTTCACGAATGACTTTGATATTAAAACAGTAGAATCTACTCGAATCAGCAATTAAAAAACATTTATCTATGGAACTATAATAAAATTGTTTAACAAGTTCTCTCTAGGCCTATCACTAAATATATCCATTTAACGCTACTAAAGAAATTGAATAGATTATTTCTAGATCATTGAATTCATATTTTCACAAAAAATGAAGATTATGTGCTTATGACCTCAACATTCTCAACTTCTGCATAGTTTTCTAGCACATAAACTGCATTATATTTTGAAAATATGAATTTAAATTATAAATTATGAAGCTAATTTGGAAATAAGTCTTTTATCCTAGCTCTTCATAAAAAGTTAGACTAATTTTGGACTAAAATTAACATCAAATTTAATCATTTGTATAAATGATTAAACTGATTATCAATTGAAAATCACAGAAATATAGTCTGCCCTTTTACTTTTACTTATCATTAACTGAATAAAAAGATTGAATTTAGCTAGATAAAAATGCTCTATTTTGCAAGAAATAATAAAGTCAAAGTTATTTAATGACATATATATCCGTGATTTTCATTCTGTTCTGACATTTACGTCATCATTATACGAGCGTATCATCAACGCTATGTAAGTAAATAAAAAGATCAGATGATCGAACTTCACGCAAATCCACACAATTATAAATTTAATTAAAATTATACGATTATATCGTGATATAATAATTAGCTCTTGAGTAAATATTACCTACAAAAGTAATTTACCTAGATTGTTTTTTAACACAATTCCTATAGTTGTAAGTATTTTATCTACAAGAACTGTGTAAAATTTATTTCATTATATATTTTCATAAGCACAAATGCGGAATAAACTATTCGTTTCTTGGTAGCGAGTGTAATAAAAGAATTGTGAAAAAAAGAACATACATATATTCTAACATTCTACTCATAAAATAAATCACAATATAAAAATACAAATCGAAAGTCCATCTCCTTTTCTTCATCTCGTTTCTATTCCCTCTTACTACTCGCATTTGTAACAATGCAATCCAAGAAATGTATTATCTTGCACTTCTTAGCATTGTTTTAGTTTCTTCTATTGTTTTCTATTATTCCCCCCCCCC